CTGGCCCTAGTGTGATCTGCTAGTAGGCTATTTGACCAAGAACCAAGGAAGCTTTGCCTGTTTCCCCAAGTGCTCTTTTTCTCTCTTTTGTGTGTTTGTGAGACAGGGTCTCCCTGTAGCCCCAGCTAGCCTGGAACTCCCTATGTTCCCCAAGTGCTCTTAAAGCCCCCTCCTTTTTGAAAGGTGCTGGAATTTGAACTCAGGGGATCAGGCATGCTAAGCAAGCACTCTACTACTGAACCATATTCCTTTTATTTATCTATACACACAGAGAGGTGTGTGTGTATATATATATATATATATATATGAGACAGGGTCTCCCTGTAGCCCCAGCTGTCCTGGAACTCATTATATAGACCAGGCTGGCCTTAAACTCACAGAGATCCACCTGCCTCTGCCTCCCAAGTGCTGGGATTAAAGGCGTGCACCACCATGCCTGGCGATTTATTTATTTTTATTTTATGTGTACGATGCAGTGCCTGCATGTATGTAAGTGCACTGATGTCATGCAGTGCCCACAGAGGCCAGAAGAGGGCATAGGATCTCCTAGAACTGGAGTTATGAATGGTTGTTAGCCACCATGTGGGTGCTGGGAGCCGAATCCAGGTCCCCTGCAAAAGCAGCCAGTGCTCTTAACTGCTGAGCCATCTCTGCAGTCCCTTGCCTGCATGTTTGTAAGTGCACCTCCTGAGTGCAATGTCTGCAGAGGCCAGAAGCAGGCATCCAATCCCCTGGAACTGGAGTTATGGGTGGTTGTTAGCTGCCATGTGAGTGCTGGGAACCAAACCTGGGTCCTCTGCAAGAGTAGCCAGTGCTTTTAACTGCTTAGCTATCTTACACTTATTTTTAATTGTGTGTCTGTGTAGCAGTGTGTACATGCCTGTGCAGTACCCAAAGAGGCCATAAGAGGGCATCAGATCCCCTGGAGCTGAAGTTGCAGGTGTGAGTTGCCTTACCTGGGTGCTGGGAACCTCTACAAGAGCAGGACACACTCTCAAAAGTTGAGCCATTTCTCAAGCCTTTATAGTCTTCTTAAAACTCTTACAGGGATTTATTGTAAGGACACATGTGTGTGGGTTCTAATGTGTGCACATGTGGCAGTGCATATGTGGAGGTCAGAGGACAACTTTTGGGAGTAGGTTTTCTCCTTCCACCATTTGGGTGTCAGGGATCAAACTCAAGTTGTCAGGTTTTGTAGCAAGCTCCTTTACCCATTAAGCCTTCTCAACTGGTCCTGAGCTACATTCTTGAATCCCTTGGTAATCCTTAAGTAAAATTATATTTTGCACCAGATGAACAAGGCATAGCTTGGATCCTTGGGGAGCCTCTGGGCCAGTATGGACACTGGGAAGAGTTAAGCCTTGAGATTATAAAGCTAGGATGATTGGAGAAGGAGATGGAAGTTAGCTTTGGGACCTAAAAGACACAGAACAGGAGCCAGATCTGGTGGCACAGGCCTATAATCCCAGTTACTGAAGAGACTGAGGCTGCAGGATCACAATTTCAAGGTCATTATGAACTATTTAACAAGACCCTGTCTGAAAATAAGAAGTAAAAAGAGAGCTAAGAATGTTATCTTAGTGGTAGAGTTTTGGCCTAGAATCCTGTGTGACTCAGTAATAGACCTCTGGCTAGAATCTCCCAGTGAGGGGCTGGGAGTGTTGCTCATTGGTAGAACACCTGCATAGCATATGTGAGGCTCTAGCTTCAATCACTAATACCATTTAAAAATCCTGTGGTGTCACAGACCTGTAATCTCATCACTCAGGGTACTGACATAGCAAGATCATGACTTTTAGGTCAACTCAGGAATTTAAGATCAGCCTGAGTTATATAAATCTTGTCTCAAAACAACAACAACAAAAAGAGTCTTCTTGTGTGACAGAACATTTGTAGCCCCAATACTTGAGAGATAGAGGCAAGAGAATCAGGAGTTTAAGGTCACTTAGCTAATAGAAAGTTTGAGACCAGCCTGGGCAACATAAGACCCTGTCTCAAAAAAGGTAAACAATTATCAAGTGTGGTATCACAGCACTCTGGAGGCAGAGGGAGTCAGATCTCTGTGAGTTCAAGACCAGCCTGGTCTACATTATGAGTTCAAGGCTTGTCAAGGTTACACTGTGAAATCCTGTTTTAAAACAAACAAGCAAAAGCATATAAGACAGGGCCACTAGAAGCTGAATCCTAGAAGTGGGGACAGGGGCTAAGATCTAAAGGCCTGGTGCCTGGCTGGGGAATATAGGTAGAATTGGACTAGAGGGCTTGGAATGCAATGGAGGAACATCTCAGCTTTAGTGACAGGGAGCCCGTGAAGGCTCTTTTTAATTTTTGCTTTCTGAGTGTTTTGCCTACATGAATGTAAGTGTACCATGTGTGGGCAATGTTGGTAGAGGCCAGAAGAGGACGACAGATCCCCTGGAACTGGAGTTATGGGTGGTTGTTAGCCAACATATGGGTGCTGGGAACTGGACTCAGGCCCTTTGCAAGAGCAGACAGTGCTCTTAACCACCAAGCCATCTTTCTAGCCCCTTCCTAAAGGCTGGTGGGCAGAAGTATGCAAAGACTAAGCTTCCAACTCTTAAATGGTGACCTTCAATGGTAGCTATCTGAAATTGGAACCGACCTAGTCTAAATGAACCGTCCTTAACTTTAGTTCCAGGGGAATCCGAAGCTCTCTTCTGACCTCCGCGGCCTTGCACAACACGGGTGCATTCATGTACATGCAGGCAATACACTCACACACATAAAATAATAATAAATAAAATTTTTAAAAAATTTTTTATTGTTATTTTATGTGTGTGAGTGTATTGCCTGCACAAATGTAAGTGCACCCGGGTTGTGTACTGCCCATGGAGGTCAGAAGGCATTGGATCTCCTGGAACTGGAGTTACAGACGGTTGTCACCCGCCATGTTGGGTACTGGGAATTGAATCTGAGTCCTTTGCAAGAGCAGTCAGTGCACTTAACAACCGAGCCATCTCTCCCGCCTCTTATTTTTACGTATGTGAGTGTTTTGCCTTTGTGTCCCTGCGTGCAATGCCTGCAGAGTCCAAAAGAGAGCATCGGATCCCCTAGAACTGAAGTTTCAGAGGGTTGTTAGCTGCTGTGTGAGAGCTGGGGAACGAACCCAGGCCCTCTCCCAGGGCAGCCAGTGCTCTTTACTGCTAAGCCATCTTTCCAGCCCCCGAGGAATAGATTTTTGGGCAGAAGGGACTGAGTTCTGGAGGTAGTGGTGTATACCGTAGTTCAAAAACCACCAACACCACTTAAGTAAAAGCAGCAAGGTAAATTTTGTGTCGACTGACCGACTGAGCTGTCTGTCTCGGGAGTAGAAGTAGCCCTGAGCATTGACTGATCAGAGTTTTTATAGGGTTACAGAAAGCATTGTATAAGCAAAATATCTATGCACCAATCAGGTTTGTACAACATAGCAGGATTCTAATTTTAGTGATCAACAACTAATCATTATACAGACAAGTGATGTAGTCACATAACTTGGCGTTCAACTTTGTAACCTTAAAGTTAGCCAACTGTCCTAGCCATAACAAGTATAATAAGAAAGCCAAAGTCGACAATTTGCAGGTGGTCATACAATAAGAGGATAACGAGGGTGGTCTATGTTTTGTGTCAAGGTGACCTGAATAGCGAGTTACAGAGGCAAAAACAAGCAGTTAGCTAGATGTAAAATATCTGCAACTGACACATTCCATGGGTTTGTTGTGGTTAGGACATTTACTCAAGGCCCAAGGTTGCCCCCCTTTTCCCTTGGGTGTGGGGCAAAGTTACTGTAAAAATAGCTCTGAACAAAATGGAGTAACTTAAGTCAGTTCGCTGAAGCAGTTCAGGTAGGAGGTGCCTCTCTCTGGTGGTAAGTAGCGGGTTGTAGATTCGGACTAAACACCTGGCCGAGGGTTTGAGCCTGGTTTTCCAGATTGGCTTGCATCAGAGAGATCAGATTCTAGCTCTGCCTGTGGACTTGCCTTTTGGCCTCTCTGCGCCTCCACTTCGCCATATGTAAAGGAGACCGAGATGACCTGGAGAGTCCCTTCCTCCTAGCTGCTTCTGCAGAGGGACTTCCGGAGGCCGGCTCGAGGCTCCCAAGCTCCGTGGAGCCTGACAGGGCCCCCAGCAGTGGAGCACGGCCCCATCAAGGTGGGGGTGGCCAGGACAAGAGCCACTCCCGGCGCCTCCTGCCCTCGCCCGCGGCACGCAAAGCAGGGCAGCCACCCACAGCAGTGCGGAAGGAAGGAGGAACCTGCAGGACGTCCCAGCCGGCCTAGGACACGCCCCTAGCACTCGCCCTGAACTGAGGACGCCTGAATTCCCAGGCCCCAGGGCTGGGACTCCTGGAGACGCCTCGCCAGTACTGGGGCGTAGCCTAGGAGCAGTGCCCCGGGAGGCGTGGACGTAATGCAAGGGGGTGGGTCCAGGGCGGATCCAGGGACCGCGCTCAGGGAGGAGCTCAGAGGCTGCACGGATTGCGTAATGATGCAAGGATAGGAGCCAAGGAGCCCTCAAAGGGAGGCGGGCCCAAGGGGATTTACGTAACAGAAAGAGGTGGGGCCGGAGCGGCGGGTGGCTCCGCCCTAGGCGTGGCCAAGGTGCCCAGTGAGAGGTAAACACAAGGCCAAGGTGTTACGTCATGCGCAAGGGCCAGAGTCTCCTGCGCTTCCTGGCGTGGCTCTGCACCTGTAGGTTCTCATAGAACTAACGAGATTACGTAATGGTGTAATAGGCGGAGCCAGCATCTCGGGTGGCTCTGCCCCAGGGCGTGGCCAAGGAGCGCGCTGAGGCTGCGCGCAGCTTTGAAGTCTGTGCAGTGGTGTAAGGGGCGGAGCTGGACTGTTTTCCGGGATTACGTAGCATCACGTGATGGAGGATGTCAGTCGGATGGGGGCGGGGGCAGAGAGGCGTTTCCTAAATCGGAAACGGGCGTGGCTGGGGACGGAGCTTGCGCAGGAGAGCCTCAGCGAGGTGGACGCGAGGGACCGCAGGTGTGGGCATGCTCCGTTGGGCGCGCGCTTGCAGGGTTCCCCGCGGGTTGCTCGGTCCCTCCACTACCCGCTGCTCCGCTGTGCCCAGCGTGCTCAGCAGCAGCGACAGCAGCGGTGGTGGCCGAGTAGTCGGCAATCCGAGGTCAGTCAAGGGCGCCAGGAGGGTGGCAGTCCGCACGGCCTCTTCCCATACAGCCCCGCCTCCTCCCTTGGCTCCGCCCCTTTCCTACTACTCCCCCTCTCTTCCCCTCTCTATGATGACCCCACTTTCCAGGCCGCTGCCCCTGTCCTACAAGCTTCTGGATGGAGAGGCGACACTCCCGGCCATCGTCTTTTTGCATGGACTATTCGGCAGCAAAACCAACTTCAACTCCATTGCCAAGGCCATGGCCCAGCGGACCAGCCGGAGGGTGAGCTTCCGGGTGGGGCAGAGCCTAGGAGGAAACCAGGGCGGAGCCGCCCAGCCTCTCGCCCTGGCGTCTGAGCGCCTGCTGACAGTTTTGGCACTAGATAACCCGGAAGGGTCCTGCCAAAGGTAGAGATCTCGGGTTCTACATGGTGTCTTCTGGTCAGCCCATTTATAGATCTCCACCTACCCCTCTACTCTGAGCTAGCGTACAGCAACACCCTCTTCATGAAAGGATCAGCCCCTGGTTGTTCACCAGGGAAGGGAGGGAGTTCACACCGGTTATGGAAGCCTACTTTTGTTACCTGGACTTCTGGGATGTCCTGCCTGGATTTCTCTGGATTTGCCCCCTAGCCAGGTCAGACCTTCAGAGATGTGGTCTCTTGATCTCTTTTCTGGCAACTCGGGGCCCTAACTACTTTATGTAGGCCTCATAGGTCTGGGCCCTGACCCTCCTCATTCAGAACCTGTTCCAAGCATGATACCCAAGATTGGCCTCTGATTTTCACATTCACACACAGTGTATATTTTTCATATACAAATATGGATAAAAATTTGTTCCCAGGCAAACTGTGGCACATACCTGTAATTTCAGCACTCAGGAGACTGAAGCAGGAGGATCAGAGGTTCAAGACCAGCCTGGGCTACATAGTGAGACCCTGACTCAAAAAGAAAACAAGGAACCATTGAGATGGTTCGGTGGGTAAAGAGCTTACTGCCAAGCCTGATGACCTGAGTTCGATTCCCAGGACCAACATGTTGGAAGGAGAGAACTCTTGCAAGTTATCCTCTGATTTCCACATGTGTGCCATGGCATGGACATACACAAAATAAATAAATTAATTAAATTTAATTTTTAAAATTAAGGAGCTGGATATAGTGGTGTACATCTTTAATCTCAGCACTTGGGAGGCAGAGGCAGGTGAATCTCTGTGAGATCAAGGCCATCCTGGTTTTCATAGTAAATTTCGGGCCAGCTGGGGCTACAGCTCAAAAAAACTAATAAATGAATAAAGGAACAAGATAACAGCTGAAGGAGACACCCAAGGTTGACAGCTGTCTTCCACATGCTTCAAGCATGTGTGTATACACACAGATTCTGGGATGGGTATGGTGGTGCACACCTTTAATCCTGGCACTTCAGAGGCAGAGACAGGTGAATTTCTATGAGTTCAGGTCAGTCTGGTCTATATAACACGTTCCAGGCTAGCAGACAAAATATGTGCCCAGACTCATTTCCTGCCTCACACCTGACTCCCTACCAGCAGACTTTCAGTTGTCTGTACTTAAGTAATACCTCCTATCTCACCCGACTCCCTAGGTGCTAACAGTGGATGCTCGGAACCATGGTGACAGTCCCCACAGCCCAGACACAAGCTATGAAGCCATGAGCCAGGACCTTCAGGGCCTCCTTGCACAGCTGGGCCTGGTGCCCTGCGTCCTCGTTGGTCACAGCATGGGAGGAAAGACGGCCATGCTGCTAGCTCTGCAGAGGGTGAGCCGCCCCCATCTGGGTACAGTGTAGACCTTAAGTGCTCATCTGGTAATGTGTGACTAACCGTACCTTGAATGGCCAGGCTCCTGCAATGGTGTGGGCTGTTCTTTTCATTTGCCTGGAATCAGTTTCAGTCTGATTTTGTCCTATAGCCAGAGGTGGTGGAGCGACTGGTTGCTGTAGACATCAGCCCAGCAGACACCACACCCGTGTCACACTTTCGAAACTACATGGCAGCCATGAAGTCTGTTGATATCCCAGAGAAAGTGCCCCGCTCCCATGCCCGAAAACTGGCTGACGAACAGCTCAGCTCCGTTATCCAGGTGATGTACCCTCTCCCCACTCCACATGGTATTGTAGACTAAGATACAGGTTAAGGAAAGAGTGGTGGGTCCTGGGCCTCATAGGGAGGCCCCCCACAACTACCAGACACCCCCCCCCACAGGACCCAACTGTCCGGCAATTCCTGCTCACTAACCTGGTTGAGGTAAACGGCCACTTCTCCTGGAGGGTGAACCTGGATACTTTAGCCCAGCACTTCGACAAAATCATGAACTTTCCACAGCGACCAGAGTCCTACTCTGGGCCCACTCTCTTCCTACTTGGTGAAAAGTCCAGATTCGTACAGTAAGCCAGAGCCTGCCATAGGAAGGGGCATGTCTGACCCAGCCCTCAGCTGTGGGAGCCTACCTGGGTTAGGGAGGGCTTGGGTGTGGGCATAGGGTATCTGGGAGCCTGGCAATATCACTGGGTATATAGGCTCACATATAGCCTGGCAATATCTCTGGGTATATATGCACATATAGCTCTCTTTTCTCTCTCTCTCTCTCTCTCTCTCTCTCTCTCTCTCTCTCTCTCTCTCTCTCTCTCGTCATCCTTAACCCAATCTCCACTGATTTCTCTCTGGTGGCCCAGGCCCAGCCATCATCCAGAGATTAGGAGGCTATTTCCTCGGGCTCAGATGCAGACAGTGCCCAATGCTGGCCACTGGGTCCACAGTGACAGCCCCCAGGATTTCATGGATGCCATCGGAGGCTTCTTGGCCTAAGAGGTGGCCTCTGCTAGAGCAGGCTTGACATCCTTGCAGCCTGCCACCATGTTTCTCCATGGAAGGACTCAGACCTGCACCAAAAGGGAACACAGGCTGGGCATGGTGGCGTACGCCTTTAGTCCTAGCATTTGGGAGGCAGGTGGAGCTCTGTGAGTTCAAGGCCAGCCTGGTCTACAAAGTGAATTCCAGGCCAGCTGGGCTACAGGGAGACCCTGTCTCAAAAAGAACAACAACAACAAAAAAAACCAAAACGGATGCAGAGGTGGTCCAGTCTAGAGCTTTAATGAATAAAGAGAGTTCTCTCAAAATCCCTGGGTGCATTTTCACCACCAGCGTCCCCACCAACCTCGGGGGAATTGGGCCTGGGAGCTCCTGCCAGTGCGGGTGCCCCCAAGGCTGCCCACAGCAACTTTGGCCTCCCCCTGCAGTTGACTCTGCACCCGCTGTTGTACCATCTGCTGCATATCTTCCTGGGGGCAGGAGAGAGGGCAGGTTCAAGGCTAGCCCAGTAAGAAGGGCATCTCCCATGCCTTCTAAGTCCTGAGGCTGGGGCATTCCCCTACTCTACCTCCCAGGCCTCCACCTCCTGCTTTAGCCTCAGTTTCTCCTGCACAACTTCCAGCAGCTGGGCCTCCACTGCACGCAGCCTGGCTCTGCAGATGTCCAGTTCAGCCTCCACTGCTTGTTTCCTGCAGGTGGCAGGACAGTGGTGAGAGGGGTTCTCGTGGCTTTCCTCTAGGGATGCCTGGAGGGTCCCTTACCCTCCTCCAACAGGATGGGACCCCATGGGTGAGCCCCCCCTCCACCTCTCCCAACACCCCCCAACCAGCAGTGTCTCTCACTTAGCAATGGCTTCATCTCGCTCCTGTAGAATTTGATCCAGAGAAGGCTCTGCCCTGCTGGCCCCCAGTGCTCCAGCTGCTTGGGATCTGGGCTCTATTATAGGGTAACCTGGATCACTTCTGCCCTAGCCTGAGGCTGGAGGGAGGAGATGGGGAGGAGACCCCATTCTTTACTAGCTGTGCTCTATATTTCCACCTATTCTTACCACCCTTTGCCCCCAGGAGGCGCTCCACTCGCATCTTGAAACACCCCAGGAAAACCTTAATCTGGCCAGCCAGTCCTTGAGTGACAGGTGAGACCACCATTTCACCTGGGCAGAATGCACAGGGCATTTGGAAACCCTAAGGAGGGAGGGATTCTCACCCAGTCCTCAGGAAATACCAAAGTGAGTGGGCTGGGGACACTTACCTTTTGAAGGCCCTAGACCGGGTGACCTGATGACTGAGACTCTTGTCAGGAGGTTGGAACAAGCAGAGGACCTGGCCCTTTGCCCTCTTCCAGGCTAGACACTCCTTTGCAGGCTCCACCCCCTGCGGGACAACTTGGGATAAGGAGCAAGGTGCTCCTCCCTTCTAGTGGAACCGCCCAAGGCCCTTTCCCAGAAGTCTTGCCTGCCTTTGCCCTCAGGGGGCACTCCACTTATATCTTGCAAATGCGAGTCCCTACCCAAGACAGCCCAGTGCTTCAGTGCTGAGACATGAGGCACGCCCCCCACAGCCTGAGGGGTTGACTCCTTGGTACTTGGTACTTCTTCCCAGGCATCTTCTGTATACAGACAATATACCCCAAATTTCCAAGGCTAAGCAAGCTCTCTAACTACACTTCCAAGCCATAAGTTTTTTTTAATAGTCTAGCCTCAAACTTAGATGTCTCTCGCCTCACTTTGAGAGCTAAGATTCAGGCCTGCACCACCACACCAGGCTTAGCATTTTCATATTAAACCAATTTCATATAGAAATAAATGGCATTTGATCTTTTTTTTGTTTTGTTTTTTTATACAAGGTCTCTCTATGTCATCCTGACTGGCCTGTGTAGACCAGGCTGGCCTCAATCTCACAGCGATTCCCTTGTCTCTTCCTCCTGGGTGCTGGAATTAAAGGGGTCTGCTATCATGCCACAGACTAGCCTTAACATTTAAAAAAAATTACAGCAGAGTTGTTTTGTAGATGTAGTCCAGTTTTTTCTCCTGATTGGACCATGTTTTTTTATATTTTGAACAGAAACACCTCAGCAGTGAGGCTGTGTTCTGCAGGATTCCAATAGATTTGAACAATAAAGAGTCACATCAGCCACCTGACTAAGATGCTTAATCAGTATTGGGGAAGGGGAGATACTTTGAGACATTTTTTTTTTCTTCTTTGTGCAGGGCTGGGAATAGAATGAATTCAGGGATTTACATATGTAAAGGCCTCCAGCCCATCACCAGTGGATTCTAGGCAGATGCTGTACCACCGATTCTCACCCCTAGCCCCTCACTGAGGGATTCTAGGCACGTGCTCAGCCATTAAGCCACACTACATCCCTTCATTGGAGGATTCTAGGCGGCAAGTGCTCTACTACTGAGCTGTACCGTAATCCCTCACTGGGGGATTCTAGACAGGTGCTCTGCCACTGAGCCATACCGCACCCCTCATTGGGGGATTCTAGGCAGGTACTCTACCAATGAACCACAATCCATAAAATATCCTTTTTTTTTTTTTTTTCGTCTTTTTGAGACAGGGTCTCCCTGTAGCCCCAGCTGTCCTGGAACTCACTATGTAGACCAGGCTGCCCTTGAACTCACAGAGATCCGCCTGCCTCTGCCTCCTGAGTGCTGGGATTAAAGGCGTGGGCCACCATGCCGGGCAGAATACCCTTTTATACAAAGAGACTTGAGCATCCCAACATCCTTTGATTTATGTAGTGATAGGATCCTTGAACCAGTATTTCCAAAGACACCAGAAGACAACTGTAGAGACCAAGATGGGGGCTGTTTGATAGGTTCATTGCCATTTACCAGATATATTTATAAACCCAAATGTCCATTTTCACATCTGTTTAGTTCTGTGTGTGTCTACATAAATTATTTATTTTGACCTTGCACTGAGTCCAACAACATGTTATCCTAACCTTTCCCTTTTGTGTATCTTTATTCTCTTCCAAAGCTGAGAAACCTTCAGTTAGCAGATGGCTCAGGGTTAGGGCACCAGCTGCCAATCCTCATACCTGAGGTGCCAGGGAGGACACAGCATTATGAAAGGACCTCTGTAAGGCAGAAATGCAAATAAGGGATCTGATACACTTTCAGAAGTCAGGAGACTGGAGTACTACTGTCATCTAATGGCCACATATGCCATGGCACGTGCATGCTTACACATACAAACACAAATTATAAAATCATATTAAAAAAGTTGGGGCTGGGGAGATGGCTCAGCAGTTAAGCACACTGGCTGCTCTTGCAGAGGACCCGGGTTCAGGTCCCAGCACCCACATGGCAGCTAAAACCCATCTGCAACTTCAATTCCAGGGGGTCCAATGCCCTCTTCTGGTCTCTGAGGGTATTGCATGACACAGGTCCACTTACAGGCTAAACACTCATATACATAAAATGGGGTTTTTTTTGGTCTCCCTGTAGCCGGAGCTGTCCTGGAACTCACTATGTAGACCAGGCTGCCCTTGAACTCACAGTGATCCACCTGCCTCTGCCTCCCAAGTGCTGGGACTACAGGCATGAAATAAATTTTAAAAAGTGGTGGCACATGCCTTTAATCCCAGCACTCGCACTCGGGAGGCAGAGGTAGGCGGATCTCTGTGAGTTCGAGGCCAGCCTGGTCTACAGAGCGAGTTCCAGGCAGCTGGAGCTACAGGGAGACCCTGTCTCAAAAAGACCAAAAAAAAAAAAAGTTTTTAAAAGTTGGAAACCTATATTCAGCTTTCTTTGTCATTGTATCATAATTTGGTCAACCCCCTTGTATGTTCTGATCTCTCCATGTGATGAATCTCTGAGGTTTTATTTGTTAGCTTCTTTTTAGATTTCTGTTTTATCTTTGATTATGCATGGGGCGGGGTGTATGTGCACACATTAGTGCAGTGCCTGTAGAAGCCTGAAGATCCCCCCGAAGCTGAATTTGCAGGTTTTTGTGAGATTGTGAGATACTTGACATGGGTGCTGGGAGCCAAACTGCTCCTCTGCAAGAGCATCAAATGTTCCTAACCATTGAGCAATCTTTCCAGTCCCTGTTTATTTGGTTATTTTGTTTATTTTGGTTTTTTTTGAGACAAGGTCTTTTTTAAGATTAAACACTTTTGCTGGGTATGGTGGCACACACCTTTAATCCCAGTACTTGGGAAGTAGAGGCAGGCAGATCTTTGTGAGTTAGAGGCCAGCCTGGTCTACATACTGAGTTCCAGGACAGCTCCGGCTACAGGGAGACACTGTCTCAAAACAGAAAAAAAAAAACTGTCAAAAAAAAAAAAAAAAAAAAAAAAGTTTAAACACTTTTACATTCATTTACTTACTTTGTGTGTGTATGTATGTGGGTGGGCACATATGGAGGTCAGAAACAAAGTGTAGGAGTCACTTCTCTCCTACCATGTAAGTCCCAGGATTGATATCAGGACCTCAGGCTTGGCACCAAGTGACTTTACCCACTGAATCCTATTGCCTGACCAGAAAGAGGATCATAAACTTGTTCTGTGACCAATACTAACAGGCACAGTACTTCTCAGTCATTCCCCCAGCCCCTCACTGGGGGATTCTAGGCAGGTGCTCCACCACTGAGCCACACACCGCCAGCCCCTTGCTGAAGGAGTCTAGGCAGGTGCTCTACCACTGAGCCACACCCCCAGTCCCTCACTGAGGGATTCTAGGCAGGTGATCTCCTGAGCCACACACCCACTCTCTCACTGGAGGAATCTACAACAGCCCAAACGGTGACATTACAGGCCTGTGCCACCATGTTTGGCTTTTATTAGATAATCATGTAGCCCAGGATGACAAATTCATAATCCTCATGTCTCCACTTCTCAGGTGCTGAGATGGCAGGACTGTACCACCGTACCTAATCTTTGTTCATTCTCCAAATATATTTTAATATTTATGTGTATGAGTGTATTGCTTGCATGTATGTAAATGCATCTGTGTGGTGCAGTGCCCATGGAGGTCAGAAGAGGGCATCTAATTCCCCTGGAACTGGAGTTATGGACAGTTGTTAGATGTCATGTGGGTGTTGGGAATCAAGCCTGGGTCCTCTGCAAGAGCAGCTAGTGCTCTTAACTGCTGACTCATCTCTCCAGCCCCAAATATTGTATTTATTACTTTTATATGTATGAGTGTATTTCCTGCATGTATATAGGTGTACCTGTGTCATGCAATGCCTGTGCAGGTTAGAAGAAGGCCTCAGTTCCTCTGGAACTGGAGTTACAGGTGGTTGTTAGCCACCATGTGTGTGCTGGGAATCAAACCTGGGTCCTCTGCAAGAACTGCCAGTGCTCTTAACCTCTGAGCCTTTTCTCCAGCCCTCCAAATATTTATGTGTGTAGGTGTTTGTGTGTGAGAGCATTCGTGTGTCATTCTATAAATAGTTATTGAGAACCTGCTGTGATCTAACCACATATCCATGTGATGTTCAGAAAAATAGACAAGATCCCAGGTCCTGAGGGAGCTCACATTCTATCAAAGGAAGACATATTAAACTGATAAATGAACGGGCATGATGGGGCATGTCTGAAATCGCAGCACTCAGGAGGCTGAGGCACAAACATCATAAGTACTGGGGCTGGGAGATGACTCAGCAGGTAAGAGCTGTTCTGTTCTTGCAGAGGTCCTGAATTCGATTTCCAGCTCCCACATCTGGGGCTCACAACTGCCTGTAACTCCAGCTCCAGGGGATTTAATGCCCTCTTCAGCCTCTGAGGACACCAGCACTCATGTGCACATATACAAACAGACACACAAATATACACATAATTAAGAATAAATTATATTTTTTACTATATAATGTGTTTATTATATTTAATACAGATAAAATATATAATGTGTGTATATATAACATGTATATACTATCTATCATGAATTCATAGTCAGCTTAGGCTATAGAGCAAGATCCTTACAATGGGAAAATAAGTTCTGTGTTTCCAAGTCAAAATTAACATTTTTTTGGCCGGGTGTGGTGGCATTATGGGGCTGGAGAGATTGGTTAGTGGTTAGGAGCAATGGCTGCTCTTGCAGAGGACCTGGGTTTGGTTCCCAGCACCCACATGGCGGCTAATAGCCATCTGTAACTCCAGTTCCAGGGGAATCTTTCTTTTTCTTTTTTCTTTTTGAGACAGGGTTTCCCTTTAGACCAGGCTGGCCTCGAAATCATAGAGGAGATCTGCCTGCCTCTGCCTCCCAAGTGCTGGGATTAAAGGTGATCACCACCACGCCTGGCCTCAATGTCCTCTTCTGACCTCCGTGGGCACTGCATGACACAGGTGCACTTACACACATGCAGACAATACACTCATAGACATAACAAATAATAAAATATTTTAAAATTGCATTTATTTGTGCATGTGTCCATATGTACTTGTATACACAGTGCATGTGCAGAGGTCAGAGGACAACTTGGAGGAATCAGTTCTCTCCCTTGACCATGTGAGTCCCAGGGATTGAACTCAGGTTGTCAGTTGTCAGGCTTGACTGCAAGTGCTTTTATCTACTAAGCCATCTCACCCAACGAAGGTTTATATTCTTCAAGGAAACTGAGGGAGGCACTAGGGATGAATAATAACTAATACAGCAACTGCAAAGCAGAAATGCAAGTGAGTAGCCTGGATAAACTTTTACAATGAAGAGACTGGAGCAGTACTGTTGTAACTGAAAATTCTTACTTGAGGGCCTGGAGAGAAGGCTTAGTGATTAAGAGCACTGCCTGCCCTTGTAGAAGGACTGAAACACCCAAATGGCAGCTCACAACCACCTATGATTCCAGCTCCAGGGCATCTGATACCCAC